TTCTTCTTCTTCTTCTTCTTCTTCTTCTTCTTCTTCTTCTTCTTCTTTTTCTTCTTCTTCTTTGCTTTCATTATCGCCACATTTTTTTTTTTAATTTCTAAGCTGCCCTTCATTCATTTCTGCTCCATTGTTAGCTAACTCTTGCAATGGGGATTTTGCAGTTCCTTGTTTACTGACTGCCTCGTTTAGCCACCGTTTGCAGGTACGACGGGGATGGAAAAAGTTGCTTACATTTTACGACAAGTTTACAACACAAAGGAAAGTGGGAGTAAGACTGTGAACCCAGTCATGGTTTCACTGAACAATCGCTTTGCTTCATGACTGAGTTGCCGGTTCCAACTGTGCTCACTAAATGGGTCTTTTAAATAATTGCAGTGCTTAGCAGCAGATGCTAATTCTGAGCCTTGAATTGGCCACAGTCAGCTCTGATTTCACATGTTTGGCTTTTCTCTAGTAAACAAATAAAACTCAAACATCCCTGTTTTCTCTGTATAAAGATTACTAGATTCTTTTTTTCCAGACTTCAGCATAGTCACTTTGGATTTGGATAAAACCGTTACTTTTTTTTTTTTTTAACAAATGCTGGATGCTAGCTTTCAAAACAAATTTCAAACTTTGCCTGAGGTGGTTTAAGAGAATTTAATTTAATTTAACAAATAAATTAGATGAATGAATGAATGAGTAAAGAAAGGAAGGAAGGAAAGGAAAAGGAAAGGAAGATAGAAAAAAGAAAGGAAGATAGGAAAAGGAAAGGAAAAGGGGAAAGGAAAGGATACTTCTGGAAAACATTAGCCTATTCAGTTCTTATGTTCAGACAATAATATAAAGTGACTAGCTGGATACCCGTGCTTTGCTACGAAACTATGTGGTCGGGCTTAGTTTTGGGGGAGGAAAATAAAGGGGAAAAATTCTGCCTCTGCCTACCAGCATCCGTCGGTGTTCATTTGGCTAGAGTCCTGTCAGTGTGTGTGAGAGAGGAGGGCTGTTTGGAAACTGAAGCAGTATTTACTATGTGAGCAAGGAGACAGCAAGGAGCCTGGGCGAGGCTTAGCCCAACTATTCTGTACTAAAGCTGGTTGCTGCTGTGAAAGTAAAACTGAAACTCTTCTCTGCTTGGGTTTCGCATTTGGAAGAGATTTCTTTTCAGGTGGGGAGGGGGAGTAGAACTCCTTAGCATCAGAGCGTGTTAATAATGATGATAATATAGGAAATCCTAATGCTCTGATGGTCATTAAGGAAAATCCTTTCTTAGTGAGCCCCTGGAGGCCAAGAGGAACATGCGTGCCACCTTTCATGTTTGTAGGCTTTACGGTTCTGGAGATTTTGTGATGATGCGTAGGCCACCCCAATTCTCCCCTTCTTAGTCTGTCTCTGCCTTGCGGCTTCCTTCCTTGACAGTCCTTGATAGCAAAGCAATAGACCTCATGAATGCCTTGATGCGGCTGAATCAGATCCGGCCTGGCCTGCAGTACAAGCTGCTCTCTCAGTCGGGGCCTGTCCACGCGCCGGTCTTCACCATGTCGGTCGATGTGGACGGGACGACCTACGAAGCCTCAGGACCTTCCAAGAAGACGGCCAAGCTTCACGTGGCCGTGAAGGTGAGCCCAACCAGGTTCTCTGCTAGACCTTGGGCGTCTTTGTCGTAAGGGTTCGGGGGTGGGGGTGGGGGCTGGGACGGGTTGGGGATCCCTGGCTCGG